TTGCTAACCAAATTGTTTTATCTTTATATTTCAAAGAGCTTCCATTCCTGTAATCATTCAAATTTTGGTTTTTTTGAGACAGAGTCTCACTGTTACCCCGGCTAGAGTGCCGTGGCATCAGCCTAGCTCACAGCAACCTCAAACTCCTGGGCTCAAGCAATCCTCCTGCCTCAGCCTCCCGAGTGGCTGGGACTACAGGCATGCGCCACCATGCCCGGCTAATTTTTTCTATGTATTTTTAGCTGTTGGAGTAATTTCCTTTCTATTTTTAGCAGAGACGGGGATCTCACTCTTGCTCAGACTGGTTCCGAACTTCTGACCTCAAAGAATCCTCCCGCCTCGGCCTCCCAGAGTGCTAGGATTATAGGCGTGAGCCACCGTGCCCGGCCTCCAATGGTCTTTATACTTACATGGCTTTATAAATCCCACCTCTTCTCATGTTCCAGGAAAGGTATGATTTTTTTTTTTTAAACCTGGGTGGGATGATTTGCTTTGTTATCTTTCTGACACATTCTTTTTTCTCTTTCCATCACCCTTTTTTCCATATATATATATTTATTTTGGCATATTATGGGGGTACAGATTTTAAGGTTTCAATAAATGCCCATTCCTCCCTCCCCCCATCTTTCTGACACTTTCAAGCACTTTTTTCATCTTTTTAGCCACAACAGCTTATAATCATCCTTGTACACGGTTAGTTCAGAGCAAATGCTCTCGTGAAGATGATAAGCTTGTCCACCATTCAAAACAAACAACCTCAGCGCGGGTCTGGCAGAGGGAGGAAGCGGGCTGCTCTCCGGCTCTCCCTGCAGGGCAGGTGCGGGATCCGGGCTAACAGGGACGAGGCCGGTCGGGAACCACAGGGCCCAGGGGCTGAGTGGGCATGAGGGCAGCTGAGTAGATTCCCTTCTGTTTTTCGAAATTAATCACAAACAATCTGCCTGTTTCTACCTTTTCCTGCCCCTCATATCCAGGATGGAAACAGCACCGAGTGACACAACCAGGGGCTGCTCGGTGAGGGATTAAAAAATAAAGAAAAAAAGGAACTTCCAGTCAGCAGGGCGGGGCCACAGCAGCGTTGTTTAATATTCCCCACAAGCGCGTTACCCTTTGGTCCTGGTGGGGTTAGGTTGAAGCTGTTTTGCGGCTCTGACTCTCTAGGAGACATATAGAAAATCTAGAGGCAAGGAATGTAGCGCAGAAGATGTAAACAGAGGGGTGCGACTCATCATTGCATGCTTGTGGGTTGGCAGAATAACGGATGGTGTTCTAGACATCTTCTTGCTCTATTCTCTTTAGTTGTTTCACTCTCACTCTCATAAGTGATCTCATCAGTTAGTCTTGTATAACCCTTATATAAAAGGTCAATAAGTCAATAATTTCACAAGATATGAGGACCAAATAAATTTTACAGAGGTTCGTTGGAATGAGGAAGACCTTAAAATAGAAAAGCACTCGTGGGGGCGCGAGTAAAAACGCAAACAGATAGGCGGAGGGCGGCGCGTAATCAAAAAATCTTCAGCACTACTTCCAAGACCTCAATTTCCGGTGTGACACATGTGGCCCTATATAATTAAAACAGCTTGCGACTGGCACAAGAACAGGGACATAGACCAGTGACAGAACGAGAACCAGATACAATGTCATATACCATCTAATCTTTGGGCATGTTCAGACAAAAACATTCCTGGGGTCCAGAAGGATATCCTTATTCTATGTATACTGCGCTGCTCGCGGACTAAGGTGGATAGCTCAACACGTGTAGAAGGACTGAAAGAACAGGATCAACAACCTTTCACACTTATCATAAAAATCAACTCACACATGAGAGTATCAGACTTAAAACCCTAAGTGTGGAAAACTATTAGAATTCTAGAGGAAAACATTGGAAATACTCTTCTAGACCCATTGTCTAGGACAATAATTTATGAAAGACGACCCAAAAGGCAATCACAAGTAGACAAAAATAATAAATAGAGACCTGATCAAAAGAAAAAGCTCACCAGCCAA